TACTGAATACTGTTGTGCAACAGGTTGATTATGAAAATTATGTGAATGTGAAGCAGCAAAAGATTGTGACTGCTCTGGCAAATGTGAAATTGACATCGCCGCCACAAATTTTAGTCCTGCGGTAATACCAAAAGAATTTGTTTGCGATTCATGTTCAGGAATGGCAGAATTTGGAGAAAGACTCCTATTACTCTCTTTGTCCCAACCAATTGAGGATGTTCGAGGATTAATTATAGGGCTGGTAATCGGCCCCTTTTGACTGAAGTTACGCAACTCTGGAACACTAGTAGATAATTTTAATTTATTTTGAATGGTAGAACCATTCGGAATGTTTGGAGTTGTAGGTGAATATTGACCAATTATTGGAGAATTAGTTGAAGACAATGGGCCGGTAATTGGGCTTTGCATATTTTCGAGAGGTGGACTCCCACCTAAAGTCTGCGTATCCTATCAAAAAAAAAAAAATTTTAATTTTGTTTGATAATTGTTTATAAAATTTACATTTAATGAAGAAAAATATAGTTTATTGTCCCCGAACCTTCTCAGAAAACGACTGACGTTTTGGCCTGCTATCACGAAGTTTTCTAATAGCCGTTATCAATTTAGATCGATTATCAATACCCTTTATAGTCTTGCTTTTCTTCCAGTTAGTAAGTGCAAAAAAGTCTTCACCGTATAATTTGTTTTCTGATTTTTCAGTCATAAAACAAATTAATGGTTGAGAGGTTAGATATAATAGACTAAGGAAAAAAATAAATAAAATTATAAAATACAATACCAACGAAGATAGGTTTATATTCACTAAAATGGTTTTCATCGAGCCAACGTAACACCCTCTCTAATGGCCAAGCAGAGTCTTCGATATCTCCGTCTATTGAGGTAGATCTACTTCGATCATGAGTATGTCCAGTTATGTGAACCCTACGAGTTAATGAAGTTGCACTAGAACTAGGAGGATAATCTAAGGCAGAGCCTCCAAGGTCTGTAACTATTCGATCTGGTGGTGAATGTTTACGTTTGGAGAAGGCTGTTTCACCTGCAGCCAATGCTAAATCACTAGGTGCTTGTTGAAAAGAGTTTGACAATGGCAAATTTTGCTCTGATTGAAAATCGTCGTGATGGTAACCACCCGAGGAATGCATGCTAGATACGGAGGATGAACGTGAACGAGCCTCAAGTGTGGAGAAAGGACCGCTAGGTATTGTGAAACTAGAGAATGCTGGCGACGCTAATGGAGAAGGTGGGCGGTCATTGGAATATGTTGAGTCGCTATAAATTGGTGAAAGGTTTTCGTCTGAAGGCCTTCTTACACCTACGCTCGGTGTTATATTGGAACCAACTGAAGGACGTCGCTCGTTAGTAGCCGACAACATGTTGAAGCATGGAATTCACTTGGTCAGTTTCTTCCGTACTATACAAAATCTTAATTTTTGTGTATCCATATGCCACGAAGTTCTTCTTACTTCGTGACACAAATTTTTTGGGGGATTCAGTGTTTGCAAATAACATATGTGATGTTTAATTATCGCATTATTGCATATCTCAAATTTATATATAGATCAGAGATGTGATTATTAGCATCATTTGTCAATATGATAGGTCCTAATAATTTTGAGGTCTTAATCCATTGAGCTACGCAAGAACCAATTATATTACAAGCATATTGAAAAAATTGGATAACAAATGTAGAATTTAAATACTAATTTTATACATATTTACAAATTATATAAATTTTTTAATACTTAAAGACCCTAACACGTAAACAGATTTCTGTTTTACGTACTGATGTATATATATATATATAATATATACTGTATATAGACATCGGCGTGATTACAAGTTGGCTTTTAAGTTAAGTTAAACTTTGATCCGATTAATATAACTTAAATCAGCATAACGATAAAATGATTGATCTATTTCAGTCAACTTAGCCGGTCCCACTTCATAAAAATTCGAGGTAAATTTTCTATAATCGTTCTGATGGTCGACTTCTAACATAGCGGCACATGATCGGGAAAATTTAAAACACCTTTGGTGCTTGATTTTACTACATACGTTGTTAACACATAACCTAATATGTACGTACGTATGTGTATATCAGGTATAAACACTAACCTTACATGGCACACATTTCAACCCGTGGAAGTCCCTATTAGAAACGGATACCACAGCGTAGCCACTAAAAAAAGCTGGAATGAGATTTATGCAACTTCTCATTAATTTTTATGTTCAGGAGTTTGGCTCTTCTATTTACATGCACAATTTGTAAATAAAATTTTTAAATAATTGCATTGTCCTTTTCTAAAAGAATACTTTTATACTAAAAATATGTTTGTTATTTTATCGAATAAAAATGTTATTTAATAACACATTTTCTAACTTTAATGATTTACTTATCAATAATTTTTGTTTGATTTTCTTTGCCTCTGCGTAGATGATTTCTGATTTCTTCAAATACTCCGATATCTGGATATGAAATTTTTATATTGGAGCAATTCTAAGAAATCAGAAATTATCTAACAATCGAGTAATTCCTTAATGAATTTCTTTTTTTTTTTTATTGATCTGTATATTTTGCAAAATTTTAATATTCTATTTTATAAAGTACCATAGATTTGTAATACTATAGTTGCTATATATATTTAAAAAACATATAATTAACTATATTTAAAATCTTATATTAACTTCAATTTAGATTTTTATATTTGATTTTTATATTAGTTTGTAACTATATATATTTTTACTTTGGCAACTACACTACATCATTTAATTTTAAAATTAATAATCAACTCATTGTTTATTTAAATGAATAAATATATTTTTAAAAATAATTATTATAATATACAACTAGATATTTAATACGTAGTTTGTAATGTAAGTATAGGTATTATGCCGCAGTTGTGATAGCTTGTGGTCCAGTGATCAGAATCAGATAATTTTTATGCCATTAGATTCGTCTCATCGAAACGAATCGAATGGTATAAAAATCATCCGATTCTGATCACTGGATCATGAAATATCTTCATTTAAATAAAGGAACCAGGTTTATAATTTAGTCTTATAAGAAAACATCGTAACATGCTAAAATTGACCTTTTTTACTAAGTAAATCGATCATAATGCATTAAGTAATGTTTGGATAACAAATTTTCTTTTATATGTTTCTGCACCAGTAATATAATTATGGTATAAAATCGTATAAACAAAAGTGCATTAATAAAAAGTTATCCAAAATTTACCAAAATTTTTAATTATATAAAAATTTGCATTGTGAACAACTTTACTTAATGCACTAAGATCGATTTACTTAATTAAAAAGGTCAAATTTGGCATGTTGTAATGCCTTCTTACAAGAAAATAATTATAAAATTTTTTTTTATTTAAATAAAAATATCTTGTGCTTCAGTAATTAGAATCAAATGATTTTTATATCATTTGATTTGTCTTAATGAGATGAATTTAATGATATAAAAATTATTTAATTCTGATAATTGGATCACAAATTATTAATTATAAAATTTATATATATTATAATATTTTTTTTTTTTGCTTTTGCCAAAGTTGATATTAATAACAGTTATTGTTTTTATTATGTTTTCAATTATATATTATATAACTTGTAAGATGAGTATGTAACTAGTTACATATACAACTTTTGATTACCTATTTAAATAGTTTGCCTGCAAATTCTATACTAATTGTTATACTTGTAATCTACTTTATTTATTTAAACATATTAATTTTTATATTACATTAAATAAATAGTATATTAATTTTATACATCTAACTATTATTTAATCAAAAATTTAATTTTTTTTTTTGTATAATTATCAAACTATTATTTGTTTTAAAATATGTTATTTAACTATAA